ACATTGTGCTAAATATTTTCCATGAGTCACGTTTCTCACTTCTTAACAGTCATCTTTCCTTCAAATGCACCTTGAACATTAACAGACTCACAAACATGGTCCGAATTCAGTTTCTTTGGATAGCTTAGGGACTAATATTATCACAGGACCTCGGTGTTCGGCGAAATATGGTAGGTCATTTGCGGGGGAATTTTTACATTACAAATTACAGACATGGCCGATTCGCACGGGATTAAGATCACAGACAACCTCCGCAATTATTACAAACGACTGGAGGTCACCAGGAATAGGGTTTAAGACTAAAACATCTAAGATATAGGCTAGGCTAATCACATTGCTATTTCTATAACCATAATCACAATCTAAAGAACCTTTTTCCACTCTAAAGAGCAATATAAAGAACATTTAATATCATTTGTAAAATAATTTAAGAACTGAGAGAGATAAACACTAGATAGGCTATAAACAAAGTTAAATTATGTTTTTTTTCTTGCCTAATTTTTGTTTCTTTTTTACTATACTGTATAAACTATAATTATATTCATATTGAGCCTACATAAAAAACACAACGATTTAATGAACGTTATAAAGGTCGATGCAAAAAGAATCATCGATGCTAATAACACAAAACTTGTATTTTTAACATCAAGTCACTCGTGGCTCAAAACAAATAATAATATTTCGCTTTTTAGTGAATTTTAGTTTACTTTATTTACTTAGTCCATTTATAAAACAAACTTTTCATACAAACTTTACACCGTGACAAAAATTCTAAGTTCTGCGTTCCTGTCCCTGTTTCCATGACAATATCCTAGTAACCACTGCAAGCGCACAAAAACACTGAAAGGTCAACTTCCGGCTGGGCTGAACTTTAAATAATTAATTTATCCAGGCGTTAATTAAACCAAGAGAACGCTTGAAATGAATAAAAGCATCTGAGCAATGAAGCAGCAGGGGGGCAAATAAAGCCCGCATTAAAACCACGAGTTTCTAGGGCAGACGCCACAGTGAGGCTAGCCGCAGAGCTAACAGTCACACCTGCTCAGATCTGCCCTGTGCACTGCATATACTGTACATGCCCACCAGCGTTTATTAACAAAACATCCATTCCATGCTGTAATCTGCGAATGACTGCGGAAATCTGAGCGACAATGGACTCGAAGAGGGAAAAGGACAACGGTGAGTTAGTTAATAAAGCAGTGTTTTGACGTTAGCGCCTGCTAGCAGCGGTAGCTGTCCACAATGTTGTGGTGCTGATTCACAAATATACTTCTGTGATTAAAATCACATGCATTTTTGTTTTGAAGGATATTTGTTTTGTTTGGCAGCCTAATAAGTGTAGTCTTGCATTATTATATGGGTAAAACAGCATGGCGTCTCCTTTAGGGCATCGCTCGCTTGTTGCTTGTGCGCTTACTTTGGTTCATTAAACACATGCTTTGGTTCCGTTGATTAAACCAACTGTTGGTTTGAGACAACTTTTAGTCTATCTACATAATCTCAGCTATTTTAATTTAGTTTGCGAAACTCCTTCAAGTGGGGGCTGTGCCTGTTGTTACTGTCGTCCTAAAAATTTTTTATTTCTATCCAAGGTAATTCAGTTAGGTTAAGTAAGATTGTTATTTTATTACGATTCTTCACCTTTTTAGAAGGGCAGATTATAAGAAACCAATCCCATAACATTGTTTTATTATTATTTATATACTATTATAGTTTTTATTAATATTTCGAATTAGCTTTTGGTCAGTTTTCATTTCATTTTTAGTTCAGTTTTAGTTTAGTCATTTTATTATTTGCTTTTGATTTTTTTTTTTTTTTATATTACTAGGTTTGACTATTTTTATTAAAGTTTTTATTTTAGCTAGTAATTTTAGTTCTTAAATGTCTATTAAAGGGGTCATATGATGTTGCTAAAAAGAACCCCTGCCAGATTATGCAGATTAAAGATTAAAACCCATTATAAACAAAGCATTTGTTGCATCCAGTGGGGACATAATTATGGTAGTTTAAATATAAAAAACGTACTTAAAGTCTGTGAGTCAGAACAGCCGGCATTGTACAGTCCTCCATAAAATGCTGCACACATCTTAATATTTGGGTTAAACTGTTCTGGAACAGTGTTGTAAATACAACTTAACCACTGATTTCTAGTCGTGTCCTCTTTTGG